AAATACTATAACTCCACACAAACAGAAACAGGCCTATGCTCCTTTATGTGCTGAGCATTAGAAGTGATAGTTCACTTGTGATGGTTCACTAGTTAAATGATGAGGAATAAACAAATGGACTAGGTACCCTTTTATTTCTCTACTACTGTTTTAATCCTTTAAAATATTTTTATTATGGAAAATTCAAACATAAGGGGAGAGAATATTATAATGGCCCTCATGTCTCATCATGCAATTTGAATACATGTAACTTTTTACTAATCTTGTTCCATGTATTCTTCATACACATTATATTACGTGAGTATTTTAATTGTGTTGCTGGACAGGAACTGGGCCCAGAGCAGGTCTGCCTTGAACTGGCCAGTAGTGTCTGGATTCTTGACTTTGTGCAGCAAAGATTTCACAAATGAGTCCAGGTGACTTTAAGGATATGTATATTAAAGTTGGGGACAGTGAGACAAAGAAGGGCTTAGAATAGAAGAAGCAGCAGGACAGCCTAAGCAGGGCTGCTATGGTTCTCAAGAAATGTCATAGGAAAGAACAGTGCGCTGTGGGTCCTTTGTTTTGAGGCTTTCAATCTCTCTCTAGCTGGTGGGGGTCCGAGAGGAGGTCACACAAGAGGGTCTTAACACACTATTCATTAACTTTCCAGGTGTGTCCTTCAGTATGTCAATTCATCATATATAGGGTCAGTTGTTTTTTTGTGTTTTTTTTTCTGGTTAGTTTTACTTTCAAAGAATGTCATTGAAGAGCGACCGAAACCTAGGCCCGTCTTCGACCTGGAATGTGTTAAGTATTTATTCCTTGGGGTCCTTGGTTAGGGAGGGTAAAGCCTTGTGATTCGTTATCTGGCTGTAAATTGATCAAATTGTTTGGCCTTATTTAATTATTTTTGTCTCAGTTTCTACTTGTCAAGGAATTTCCCTCTTTCTTACTATCCTGTCACAATTGGATATCATATTTTTAAATCTATTTTTTAATTAAATCTTTATTGTTGAAAGTATTACACATGTCCCTTTTCCCCCCCATTGAGCCCAGCTAGCCTGCCCCCACCCCAGGCCTTCACCACCCTATTGTGTGTGTCCAGGGGTTATCCATATATGCATACAAGTTCTTTGGATGATTCCTTCCCACCCACCCATCCTCCCCCGCCTTCCCTCTGAGATTCTGAAGTCTATGCTTCTATGTCTCTGGATCTATTTTGTTCATCAGTTTATTTTGTTCATTAGATTCCACATATGACTGAGATCCTATGAAACTTACCTTTCTCTGACTGGCTTATTTCACTTAGCATAATACTCTTCAGGTCCCTCCCTGCTGTCTCAAAGGGTAAGAGATCCTTCTTATTTTTACTGCTGCATAGTATTCCATGGTATAAATATACCACAGCTTTTTTATCCACTCATCTACTAGTGGGCACTTGGGCTGTTTCCAGGTCTTAGCTATTGTAAATGTTCCTGCTATGAACATAGAGGTACATACATTCTTTCTGATTGATATTTCAGGTTTCTTAGGATATACTAGTATTCCAAGAAATGGGATCACTGGGTCAAGTGGCAGTTCCATATTTAACTTTTTGAGAAAACTCCATACTGTTTTCCATAATGGCTGCATCAGTCTACATTCCCACCAGCAATGTACTAGGGTTCTCTTTTCTCCACATCCTCGCCAGCATTTTTCATTTGTTGCTTTGTTGATGTTAGTCATTCTAACAGGTGTGAGGTGATGTTTTAATTTGTCTCTCTCTGATGATCAGTGACTTTGAGCATTTTTTCATATGTCTCCTCGCCAACTGTATGTCTACTTTGGAGAAGTGTCTATTTAGGCCCTTTGCCCATTTTTTTTTTAATTGGATTGTTTGTCTTCCTTTTGTTAAGTTGTATGAGTTCCTTATATATTTTCGATATTAACCTTTTATCAAGTGTATCATTACCAAATATGTTCTCCCATACAGTGGGCTCCCTTCTCATTTTTTTGATGGTTTCTTTTGCTTTGCAGAAGTGTTTTATTTGATGCAGTCCCATTTGTTTATTTTCTCCTTAGTTTCCTTTGCCCTATGAGATATATCGGTAAACATATTGCTATGAGAGATGTCTGAGATTTTGCTGCCTATGGTTTCTCCTAGGATTTTTATGATTTCACAACTTACATTTAAGTCTTTTATCCATATTGAGTTTATTATTGTGTATGATGTAAGTTGGGAATCTAGTTTCATATTTTTTGCATGTATCTGACCAATTTCCCCAACATCATTTATTAAAGAGACTGCCTTAACTCCATTGTATGTTCATGCCTCCTTTGTCCAGTATTAATTGAGGGTAATGGAGTGGGTTGGGTTTTGGGGTCCTTTCTGTTCTGTTGATCTATATTCTTATTCTTGTGTTAGTACCAGGGTGTTTTGATTAAGGTGGCTTTGTAGTATAACTTGATATCTGGTATTATAATCCCTCCAACTATGTTCTTCTTTCTCCAAATTGCTGCAGCTATTCGGGGTCTTTTTTGGTTCCATATAAACTTCTGGAGTATTTTTTCTAGATCTGTGAAATATGTTGTAGGTATTTTAATACCAACAGGGATTGCATTGAATCTGTAGATTGCTTTGGGTAGTATGAACATTTTAATGATGTTGAACCTACCAATCCATGAACACGGTATATTATTTGACTTGTTTATACCTTCCTCTATCTCTCTTTTCAATGTCCTGTAGTTTTCCTAGTACAAGTCTTTTACCTTCTTGGTTAAGTTTATTCCGACGTATCTTAATTTTTGTTGTTGTTGCCATGGTAAATGGAATTGTTTGTTTAGTTTCTTTTTCTGAGAATTCATTATTGGTGTAAAAAAAAGCCATTGGTTTTGGGGTGTTGATTTTGTATCCTGCTACATTGCCAAATTCATTTATTAAATAT